ACTCTTTCAAGTGGCATTTTCATTCTTTTTCTGTTAAGAAAATAGCTTCTTCAACAGATAAACTGGAACTATTGGAAATCCATGCCTACTGTTTTCAGATTTCAAAGAAAATCTGGGCGCGTAAGTTAGGTTTGTATCTCAGTTATTGGTACAAAAGGCCAAGTGAGTTTACAAGCACTATAGACAAAGGAATGAGTTTGGTTCTTTTCAGAAATGTCACGTAAGACATTGTAAGAATCCATGGTTTTCTGAAAATTGTACATTAAGGTCTTGGGCCAGGACAGGATTTGTGTGTTGTAACTCAGCAAAGCTCCCGAAAGCTCAAGTTCATATCGCTGACTGCGTACACTGTCTGAGGACGTGCTACATTTGAGAAGGGGCAGGCAGCAGGTACCAACATCTTGTAATTCACTTGGCTGAATTGAAAGAGTAGTCTTCTAATGGTTGGTTGAGAAAAAGACATGAGGTGACATAAGTTTGGTGCCTACGTTACTGTGGTGGGAATATCCCCATGGTTTTAATTTCCTTCAAGATTTACAGGGAATTGTATTGGTGAGTCCACAGTCCCAGCAGGATGGGTGACTTGAGAAACTCTGCAGAAGCTTCAGAGAAGGACCATCAAATAATTCCAAATCTCATCATGGAAAAGTTACGGCTGTTAATGTATTAACACTATCAAATGGAAAGATTTGGTAGTGATTTGTTCAGCGTCTATGTATCTGTGTGGCAACAGAAGGTTCTCCCATATAGCAGGCAAAGATACAATAAGATCTGATATTGTGCTTAAATTAGATAAAAATCATCATTGTTTCATTGACTTGTTTAAGGTGAAGATAAGTAGCTATTGCAACAGCCTAGGAATTTCTTTTGTCTTCCCAGTACTACAAAATACTGAAAGGTACAAAAGGTCAAAAGGCCTGAAGACCTTTGTCATTTGTCCAGCATGTTCAGTGATCAACAGAGTGCTCACAAAACTGTAGATGAACAAATACTCGTAATGTTCCTTAAGTCAGAGCAAGCTCTGGCCTATCTTGTGAAAGGAATATGATGGAAGATAGTTCTTAGATATACTCTGAAAATATGCATAGTGTGTATATTCCTATATGTACTAACAGTGCACATGCCCTTAAAGACAGTAGCGACTGGTAATATTTTTGTTAAATAAACCTCTCTGCTGTTACAGTATGTAGGTATGTTTTCATAGGAAGAGATAATATAGCTTTCCCAGTATATAATCTGGGCAGGTTGTGTGAGGTTTTCTTAGCATTTGAGTAGTGATCAGTCCAGTTGCACCATGTTGTATGTCGTTTTTACTACTTCATCTTCATAAATAACATAATAACAATTTTGTTGTCAGCTGATGAGGTTGATTTGAGTTTCCCACATGGTTCTTCAGTTGTCCTCCTTGCATACCACAT